AATCTGGTAACATTTTTTGAATGTTTTGTGGAAATAATTTATAAGGAGATGTCATTTGATACAAGGTTTAACTACCTGAGTTAGTCTGAGTTCCCTACCAAATGTCAGATTGTTGGGGAACCTAGATAATGGAGGGGGGGTAATTTGGTTTTGTATAAAGATATGTTTTGGACCACATAGCAAGGGCCTTACATGAGCTATCAAATGAAGGAAGCTCAAATTGCAACTACAGTTTCACCCCATTTCAGGATTCAGCAGAACACTTAAGTATGGTGAGACTGCATTGACAAAGAATGTATATCTCAATCAAACATTTTATTGACTATAACTAGGTAGCAAAATATTCCCCCATGTGAGGAAATTCCAAGTTCTATCAGCTATCATTTTCAGTGTCCAGTGTTCGGAGGGATGGCAGATTTCCACTCTGCTGTAGGAGCTCACTATTAGCAGAAGGATGCTCTGCCAGTGGTGTATTATAGAGCAGCCTGCACTTTTTTAGGAACAAAACATACTGGCAGGATTGGATGGGCAGGAACACTGAAGAGACAAAATGCTTTGACATTATTAGGTAGTGCTTCTCTCCTTAAACTGAAAAAGAACAGAATAGCAATTCAGTCATCCCTACAGCAACCTCACCCAATGGGGCTTTTCTCTGTGTTTTTTTCTATTCAATGAAAACAATTCATATCCAGGAATTACGTGATACAGGGAGACTGGGATATACATGTTGTGGTTTAATCCAGGACAATAGGCTATTAATAAGAGGAAATAGGTAAAAAGGCATTTTTCACTAAGACCATTTTTATCACCTCAGGGTTATAAGTAATAATACAGAAAAATGTAATAGAAAAATGCTGAAAATATCCAAATACTTCGCAAGCAGAGAAAATAGGATAATAAACCCAACTAAAAGTGATTTTAATTCTTGATGGTAAACTCCACCAAAAGAGTGCATATGCAGGCAGAAATGGCTTCCCTAGTTGCAGCCAGTGCAGTACATCCTCCAGCAACAGAGCTCATTCTCTGCAGCCTTGCTGGTACTCCAGCAAGAATGGTTGTTAATGTGAAGTGTGATGGCATTTTGTCAGATGAAAGCATCTGTCTGGCAGAAAATAATTTTGCTTTAGAGCAGCCACCAAACAGATGCTTGTGACTCTGCATTTTTGCTTCTGAAACCATAATTCCCTATGATAGGCTTGGTACCTTAGTGGCAAGACAGTCACAGGCACTGAATGCTCTCTCTTTGGGGTATGGGGAACTCCATAGGCATCTGTTCAATTCCCTCTGTTGTAGGCTGGCTAGAACAGTCATTTTAATCTGAAATAATTGCAGTTTGAGTCTATGATCAGTTGTTGCTGCTGCTTCTCTGCCCCAGCATGAGCCCCCACCAAACCATATGGTAAGACCAGTCATGGAACTGGCTAGAAAGCAGTGGAAATTATCCAGGAATAGTAAAAACCCAGCAGATAAACAGTCTGTTCCACCCATGTAACTACATAAACACTGGTGCTGGCACCTAAGGGAGTGAGTGATGCTTTTTTGGTGGAATAGCAAGTTTATCATATCATAATATGATAATATAATTACTATGATAATGTAATAATATGTACATAATATGGTATGTACTACCATATTACTATGCAATAGTGTTAGGTGTTCAGCATGCTCCTCTGTGACAGAAAACATTCCAACTTGATTTAGTTGCACCCCAAACATAAAGCACTTTTTACGTACACAATGACAGGTAGCTGTCTTCTGTAACTCCTGTCACCTTTGTCTTTTAGAAAAGAATTCCAGACATGGATCAAAATAACAATTCATTATACCTATGCAAAGTAAGCATAAGAAAGCTTTCCTCGTTGACATGTTTTGATGAGAACGTACTGGTAATATATTCCTGTGGTTTGTTATCAAATAATGGTTGTCTTATTTTCTTTAATCTTTCTAGAAGACTATTTAAAATGCATCTCACAGATCTTAAATAACTTGAAACAACCTGATGTTGACCAGGAGGTTTTAGAAATACATACAGGGTCCTCTTCAACAGATACCGTAAATGCTTTAGAAAGTTCTTCCAAGAAAGCTACATAACTTGCTTTCTAATGTCCATTATTGTACCAACACTGCTTATACCAGATCATCTCCTAATGGTTCTTAAATGCACATAGACAAGAGACAGAGGGAGGTGCTTTATCATTTGCTTGAAAAGAGAACAAGTCCATCACAGACAGAACGAGTGAAATACATTCCCTTACTTAGAACTGGAACACTTCAGTTCAGGTACCAGGCAAATGTAATGTCCCAGATACACTGATAATCAAAATCTATTTGAACATATGGGAGAAAATGTTGTTGTATTTCCCCTGGTTTGTGTTTTTTCAAGTCTGCCTTGTTTACCAAGTTGTTTAATCTTATTTCTCTTCAGCTCCCATCAGGTTAGATCATAATATGCCTGTTAATACCTGTTTGTAGAAAGAAAAAAAAAACAGATGCTTCTTTATCTTATTTAGTACCTCTTATATCAATGTTTTGGTGAACAAAACTCAGTATTCCCTGAACAGATTTCATGTACCAATAGAATTAGAAATACGGATTTGTAGTTTATAATCCAGGAGAATTTACATGTGGACCCTAGTACTGATCTGGGGCATGAATACGTTTTATTACGTAATTCTTAATATCATGTTTATTATGTCAGCATCGCACACTGGAACAGAGACATGGAGCTGTTGGAATAGAAACATAAATAGGAAATGTCTATTGCTTACCTTTTTGTAGTTCCTCAGAAGCAACTCTAATAATACAGTATTACCAACAGGAAGCTGGAAGTATTGAACCCTGGTCCTCTCACAGCCTGTGTAAGTAAATGTGTTGCTAAGTGAGCTACTTACTTCAGTGTAATCCAGTACCACAAAATGTGTCATTTGGTTTTGTATCACAGAAGGGGATGCTGGAGATCATCTGCTTCTGGTGAAAGAGATGCCAGGTTTGGGCTATCAGCTGAGCAAGAGTTTGTTACATCTGTTTTCCAGCTAGAGGTCTAGACCTCACTTTGGGAACCTCAGCCTATTCACGAATTTGGACTGAAGGTGGAAGAGGCTGGTAGGCAGAGAATACTACTTTAGTACCTCCTGTATTCAAACTCAGTTCCTAGATCAAGCCAATAACAAACAATTAGGATTTTATTTCATTCCATTCCATTATATAGCAAACTCTATATGCACCTGCATTTTCTTCCTTTCCCTCCCTACTTTTCTCTTTGCCTCTCCTTCATGCACTATTTGTTAACCATTTCTCCCATTCCATCTCAGTAATATCTGCATCAAACAAATACATATAGTAGCATTTAGTGTAGCATCAGTCTACATGATCAGCACCTAATATTTCTATCAAGGCATGCAGGACTATCCTCTTTGTCTTCATATGAGTGTATTTATTTCATATGGGCGTGAGAAGAAGAGCAAGAATAAACCATGTCATTCTTATTTTGTATCAGGACATCAGTCTTAGTTTGCTGTGACGGACTAGTAACTTTAACTTCAAATACTATGTGCCTTTCTGAATCTTCAGTCTGAGGCAGAATAAAAAAGGGTAGTGGGGAATTTCATCCCTGTTATTCTTCTAAATTCACATGTACAACTCACATCCATGCAGTGCTAAGAAAGTATTTCACAAACATTTTTTAGAAGGTACAACTCATAAAATACATCTCTGAAGCTGACAGAGGCTTAACAGATATTCACTGCTTAAAACGCACCCTGCAGCCATAGTCCTCTTTCTTACTCACACGTCAACACACAGACACTTGTTAGTGGAGACAGAGTGCTGCAAAAGCACTTGGACTGAGCCTGTAAGTAAAGGTATGAGTGTAAGGAGGAGGTAAATGAGTGACAGAGAATTAGAAGATAAATATTTCCAGATTGTTACCTAGGCTGAGCTCACAAAATCAAAGCAGAAAACTGTTTAATTCCAAACCAGTTATAAAGCTAAATTAATATAAGAAATCTGTTAACTAACAACTATTTTTGTAGGGTTTTTGTTGAATTTACCGTATTGAATACGTTTTTATTTCTTGGTAAGTTATCTCCCACTGTAGTATTATTTCACTGTAGTTTTGGCTGCTGTCAAATATTTCTCATCATACAGAATTTGTGAGTAAAAGCTTGAAATCAAGGTGGGAAGACAGGAAAATCTGAAAGTTGAAGCATTTTACCTTTAACAATGAGATTATGTGATAGTCACTCACCTTACACCTTGTGGGAGAAGCTCAGCCCACTATATCTGTTTAGCTAACTTCAAAACCTTGCTGTTGCCAGTACAGTTGCGTGTATGACCACAGGCTGTACTGCAGCTCATGGAACAACAGCATTAGTCTAAGCTGTAAAAACAAGAAGGAACTTTGGGCTGAGGGTCTAAGCACCAGAAAGGGAAGTCCCTTATTTTGCCCTAGCACTGCATATGCAGTGTTTAAGTTCTTAATGCAGGACACGAGTCCTGGACTGAACTCCCTGGTTTCAGAGAGTTTTTTTTCTGATTGCAACAGACAGAGGGGGAAAGAGATGAAAAAAATATATCTAAATGAAGGGATATGTTATGGGCCAAAGTGATAGGAAAAGAGAGTTCCATGTCTGTTGGTTTTAGAATCAAAATTAAATTAATTGTTTCAGACACAAATTTTCTGTACTTAGTAATTCCAGGTGAATTCACTGCAGCATCATTCACATCAGCCACTCCCACCATTGTGCACCACCACCTCAGCATGGACCAAGTCATCTTTCTAGGCATCACCCTGGCCTGTAGTCGGGCAGGGACCGGAAGCACCCTGGTCTGGCTCACAGTCGGGGTGTACTGAAAGTGTAACCACTGACTGCTGAGTAGGATTCTTGCTGCCAGTCCACAAGCTTTATATACACCTCTCCATTAAAAATACCTCAGTGAGAATCCACAGCTAATCCTAATGACTTCAGGTGAAAATAAAGAAAGCTGTTACATTCAGACCATTATTGTTCATGCTGCTTTGTGAATTTATTTCTTTAAATTTTCCACTTGTGCTCCTGCCAAGAGAGATCTATTAGACAGAAAGCAGCAAGAGTAAAACTTCATCATTTTGTTTCAAACTATAAAATAATTTACATCACATATTTTACTTACTTTTGTCTTTTTTTTTTTGGTTTTTTGTTTTTTGAAACCACAAACATTCCAGCATCACACTGTAGGAATAAGAATAACAATAGAAAGCATAACCTTTTGCATAGTATTAAATGAACAGACAGAGTTAAGTTCTTTATTTACAATTATTGTCTAGATAAAAAAATTCATAAAAACAGATGAATGAACATATATTAATAACCCCTAGTGGGATGGATTGCCAATGTACCACTGTATTGTTGTCCACAAATCTCATGCTGCTAAATACAGTACGTAGAGAGCGAGCATTTATATATTGCAGGGAATTTTAACAAACTGATCATTTTGGTTTTTGATCCATTGTTCCCATCACAGAGAGGTCAAGCAATAAAAGAAAGGAATTGTGATGCACGACTTGTAGTTGAAAGGTCATAGCTATTCTGCTTTAAAAAAAAAAAATCTATCATTTATCATATACATAAAGCACAGTCTCTGCTCACAAAAGCCCAAGTTTTCTATGCATCTCAGTTTATATATGTTTTACTATATATACACAGAATGCAGTGTTCATTGTCTTAACAGTTTTCAAGTCTGCAAATGGTACCTTAGGGAGGGGTACTCCTACAGGAGAATTAAAAGACAAATGAAACCAAGAGAAAACATAAAGAGTGTTTGGAAATAAAAAGGCAAACAGTCAGTGTGAAGATGCTGAAAGTAAATTGTTCCAGTATTAGTAGCTTCTGTAGATGTTCAAGTCCAAAGCTAGAGGCTTCCCTGTAAATAGATAACACTTTTTTTTTCTTCCGAATATGATATCCCAAATAGGCCATAGAAACCCAATACATGTTATACAAAGGTTAATCACCATATTTACAAAGCGAACAATCCTGACTGAGTTTCAATCACTTTGTTGCTAGGAGTTAGCTAAATAATTATGTTTCCATGCTAGCTTTTTACTGTTAAGAAACGGGTCACACTATGTGTTGAAGAGAGAGTTGTATATGCCTCCAAAAACCTGTTCTGCTGTTGAGTGAAAGGTTTGGATCAGATAGCGAACTAAGACTTTGAGCCAAAAAACATTCAAGCTTCTACACAAGAGTCCGGAAGCTGGCAAGTCAAGCTGATTAGAGCGTTACCTGGCTGAATAGTCTTGATGCACCCTGAAAACGTTTTAGTCACTTCAGTCTGCAGTTTGGCCATGAGTCTAATCTTGTTTTGGAGAGTTCTGGCTTGGTTTAGTGCTTGTGACTGCAGAGATGCACCACTTTACGAGCCAACTCTAAGACAACCAGTAAGACCTTAACAAATCAATTTATCAAGCTAGTTTGAGAGTGTTTTTCAACACATCTGGCAGAATCAATTGTGTAATTCAAAATGTCTTTTGCACTGTACAGTTACGGAAAAAGATCATATGCTGAAAAGTCTCCAAGCAAACTTTATATTAAATACAAAAATTACTTATGAAAAATCTGTGATCCACAAAGTGCTTAGCATTCAAGTGGTTGACAAAGCAATTATAGAAGCTCGTAAGTTTTATGTTATCAGGGCTGTTACCATCTTGAGAAATCCTTTTTTACCCTCCATACTGCAGGTTTTCTAAACAGCTTTCTTCGTAGAAAGCTCAAGGTACAATAACGCAGGACTGTGTTACAGTGATACCTTGAGACTACAGGAAGACAAGCTCAGTTAAAAAAACAAAAAATCAGACAAAGCACAACTCAATATACAATTAATAAAGTTTCATTCAGGCCTAATAGTGCAGAAATTATATTGTTTCTTTAAACAAAATCAAAGCAACAACCTACAGTGATTCTCATCCAAAATGCCAACAGCCCATACTTTGCAAGTAGTAAGGAAATCAATGCCTAAAGTACTAACTGAAAGGGATTAACACAATATATCACAATATTTTAACATTAGTTTTTATCTCCATATAGACAACCCAAATATAACTTATTATATTTATAAACTCATATAATATCTCTCTAAAAATAGTTTTGGAAGCCATTGCCATATGTTAAAAGAATGAAACAGCCTCCTTTAGTGTATGTTGCACCAAAACAAAGTCAAGCATATTAGTGGGGGGAAGAGACAACCTGATAATTTTGATTTTTATTTGAAACAAAGGAAGCCTGGTTTACCTCCCTGTATACAGGATCACAATGCTACATCCAATGTGTTATATTTTGGCTTCTTTTGTTATCTACTAGCAGTATCTACATTATTTAACACCCAAGAAAAAAAAAATCAGGCAGAAATCAGAGCACGGTTGTAATAAAATATCCAGGGTGCGATATTACAGACATTTTCAATGAGCTGAGCTGAGCCAGTTTTATACTACTTCGGCAGGAAGTGCTTTCTTAATCCTACAAATAGTTAAGGATATTATCTACAGGTTTGTAAACAAATTACATTCTTTTTTTTAGGACATAAATAAGTTAAAATAGTCAGAGCAATTTGAGCAGAAACAAGGCAACATGCCAACAAAGAAACTTTATATATATAACTATTTATATATAGATAGATATATACATATATATAATTAATTATGTATATACTTATATGTATATATCTCTATATATAGTCTCATAAATGTTTACGTTCCTCTGTCCAACTGGTGCAAATCTACTGTGCAAGTTAAGCTTTGCAACTTCAAAAAAGTTATTTAAATTAATCTATACAATTGAGTCCATGCCACACAAGCATTTCAAAAAACTCACAGACCAGTGAATTGGATAAATAGCCTCAGAAAGAAGTCCTCTGCAGTTCCTGCTTAAGGAGGAAAAAACAAAAGGGAAGAAAAAGAAACCAAAGGAGAGAAAGAAGGGCCAGAAGTGTACAGTACGTTCATGCAGGAGGGGTGGTTGTGTTTGTCTGACAGGGAACAAGGGGGGGGGGGGGGGGGGGGGGGGGGCTATGTAAATCAGCCATTCATTCTTTCCCCAAAACCATTGTGATCAACAATTCATTCACTTGCCTCAGAGTGAACTAGAGTTCAAACAGCTTTTCAGCCAGCATTGTTTTTAATATATATATTTATATATTTCGGTTGCTGTGGGGGTTGTTATTTTATTTTACTTCTTTTTTTTCTTTTCTTTTCCTCTTTTTTTTTTTTTTTTTTTTTTGCAGTGACCTTTTCAGCTAAAGTGATGTCTCCAGGCTATGTATTGGGCTTCCTGGACTAGAAGAGGTAGCTGATTTACTTGTATCAGTTGTAAGATTTATTCCACTGTCGATAGCACTGTTGTTCTTGTTCAGCGAAGACGGTGGACTCGAGTTTTTCTTGAGAGCAGAGTCTTCTTCTAGGTCTGTGTCATCAATGAGTGGGATGTGGGGCTGGGAATCTTCTATCCTAAATTCAGGATGAGTCATAAAGTTGTGAATAGAGGTTCTAGATTCTGGTTTTTCTAAACCTTCATAGAGAGAGCTACGGAATGCCTTCACGACGCGGATCTGGGGGGAGAGAAGGAAAGAGGGGTCAGAGGCAGCGCCTTTGAAGGGCGACACTGTGCTAGAGAATACTTTGTGAAAAATGTAGCGTATGGTTAGGGCAGTGCAGGCAGCTGAAGTCCACAGTCTCTGGATGTTATGTGCATAAACAAGTGGCTCAGTTATGTGCATTTTGAATATCTGTATCAACTGCAACATTAAAATAAATCAAGTTTAAAGCCATCAAAGAACTGATGGGAAGTAGTGGTTAAAGAAAGCGAACGTCCACTCGTGTGGTACATCCCTAGTAAAAGACAAGCCATGTTAATTGTAATGCAAATGTAAAACCATGCATGTTGATAGTTTTGCAGTGAGTAGTAGGAAGGCTTTTTTAATTAAAAAAGTCTCTTTTGTATTGTTAAAAAACCATTACACATAACATATCACACTTCACAAACAGAAAAGCACAGAACACAGACACGGTTGGATGGGCACGTATGAGACACACACAGGAGCCAAGTGTAAAAACTAGAACTAATATCAGTGGTTTAAAGCAAAATCTAAATGAGGGCAGCCAAGAGCACAAAAAGCCAAGCAGACAAAGCACTAAGCGTAATCATGCTACCACGGGGAAAAAAAAATTCACAGTTACCACATGAACAGAGATAACTTGCACACAACAACTACACTTGGAAGCCTGGATAATGTGAACATAGTATTGTTGAACCAACTTTTATTTTTCCTTCATGCATATGTGAGGTAAACACTCGAGTATAGACCCACTGTTCTAGCCATTTAGCTTTTTAATATATATAAAATGTGATGAAATACTGTATTGATTGTTGGGTTGAATCGGATTGCATTGTTAAACAACAAGGTTTTTTGGTTTCTATGTCTCAGTTGTAAAACTGTGAAGTTAAATTCTGGAAGCGATAAAATTTGTGCCATATATGCAGTCTTTAAACTATAAACTAGGTCAAGCTGAGTGATGCCAGGGTCAGGCTCATGTCATTAACCCCCTGACAGTAAGAACACATGAAAATGAACTGCAAGGCTCAGCCCAGTAGACCGTCAGGGACAGCGCAGAGTGCTTTCTCAGAAGAAAACGAGAGGAACAGAGCAAGGAGCATTGCAGAGTGCAGGCACTAAGTCCTCTGCGGGAGGGCAAAGGGAGGGATGCTACCTGTACCCCAGTGACCTACCAGCTCTGAAAAGAAGGGAAGGTTTGTGCTGGTTTACTGCTGAAAAAAACATAACTTTTTGAAAGAGGGAGGCGGGGGCAGAGAGGAAAAAACAGAATGGCAAAACGTGATCTGTTGGCAAATGTTTTATGACTAAGTATGAAGTTCTATCCTTTTACTTCCATGTAGTCTATGAGTGAATTTTTAGCATTTCTTAGAGAGGAGACCAAAGCACAAGCAGAGGCAGAAAAGGTGCAAGCAGGCATTGTGAAAGCTTCTCCACACACATTTGAAATGGTTTTGTGGTTAGCATATGTATCTTTTTACACATAAATATGCTGCACATCATCGGTTAGCCTAATACACCCCTAATTTGTAAAGCTTTAATTCCTCTTTCAATTAGCAGACTGCATTTCAGTCATGGCATGGGGTCACAGTGTTACAGCTGTGGAGTCTAGCTGATCCTGTGGTTGGAGTTGTCAATCTGTACAGAATTTCAGCATAGCTGAGAAGGAGCTGACTTGTACTTTGATCTCTTTGAACTTTATCCTCATTTATGTTCTCTAATTTGGATATTTATAATCTTTCAAAAATAACAGCGGAAGTCAGTCATGCCATCTTAAGATATATGGCCTTCAGTCAGTCCAAACATTTTTCCTTTCTTTTGTACGTATATATTTGGTAACAGCGGGGCACAAAAAGTAGTTCATGGGACTGCTTATGTTCCAAATAAAAAGATTGGAGTGGTACAGAACAGCTAGTCCAGATGCTACTATACTAGATTTCAGGAGGCTGGCAGAGGTGCAAGAAAAAAGGCAGATGAGAATAAATGTACAGGCTACAACTACAGAGTGTACCTAACACCTCTTTGGCAGAAGCCCCTGGAGTTACAAACTAGGGATTTAGGAGAGCTGAATCTCTTTGAGCTGTGCTGCAGTACGTGATGGTTCTGTATAGTGAACACACCGAGATAAGAGATTCATTTGCATTACTAAAGATAGGATTGGTACTCATAGGGAAGAGGTGACATACTAATTCCCTCATTATCTATACCTTTCTATATTGTATTTTAAAGTTCAAAGTAATATAGTCTAAACAAGAAAAACAGAATAGTATGTTTTGTCAAGGCAATCTTTAAGACATGTTACTACATCGCCCTATTTTAAACCAGGAAACTCTGCAATACACTTGCTTTATAGTATGGGCTGATACAGTGAAATTTTCTGCAAAGCTACCTATTATTTCTGTTAGCTAACTAATAATAACAGCCATCTTATTCAGTTGCAGCTATTTGCTCTATCATATCAACAAAATAATTTCATTTTCTTGAATACAGCCATTTCTTATTGCATACATTTAGGTTCTATTTGCTAGCTGGATTCTTTTCAATAAAGGTAAATTTTTATTTAAATAAAATGTTTACAATTTGATATCATGCTTGAACAGATGCAGAAGAATCTAATGGAATAAGGCTTTTCTTCAAGTCACACAAACTGCATTTAAGCCTCTGTGGGTTATAGCAAGGAAGGAACCGATTTCAATTTATGAGGCTCCAAGTTCCCTAGTAGGAACTATATTGCATTTAATACCAAAACTTGGCATCAGAGTTGCATTTCATACCAAACTTTTAGACAGTCTGACTAGCTGACTAACAGCTTACACAGCTGAGGGAAAACTGTAGCTTTAGGTTATATCTGAAAGCCAGTTACATCTGCCTGCCATGACCTGAATTTGGTACTCAGCAGTGACTGTTTGAACAAAGGATCCACTGAGAGAAAACAGTGCACTAACATACTGTGCTTGGACATGCTTACACAGTCTGTAACTGCAGAACAGTCAGCCAGCAGTTGTAGCCCGTAGTGTGAAGACCTGTGGCAGTTTTGGCATGGACTGTGCAGTCTTACAGGAACATTTAGATGTCAATAAAATAGCTTCTAATTGTTCTTAGTGTTTTTTTAGTGAAAATATTAGAACTAGTTCAGATCTGCTGATACCTAAAGTAGTTAATCTTATGAACACAGTGGTAATGCAGAAACCAAACTTGGGCAAACCCTAAAGCTGAGAATACATAAAGTTAGCTTTCTAACAAGCTTTCTTCAGTAGGGAGCTGTAGAAAACTACCTTCTTTCCTTAAAATATCCCTTAAGACATGCATATGTATTTTCCACTAATTTTTGCTTAAGGAGAAACTCCCTCCCCAGCTTTAAATTCTGCATATTTAGCTTGGCATCTAGAAGAAAAACGTTCATGTTTTTAGTGTCACACCTCACGCAGTGACAGAATTTCTGCATTACAATGTAATTCAAAATGTTAATAGTCTGTCCCCCAATGTAGAAAATTATTGCTTATAAGAACAAACTTGTTCCTTTCATTATGTATGTTAGTGGAAGCTGAGGTTTATTGGATACAGAAGTGGTATTCTAATTTCCGTGGAATATTCTACTATATTTAAGCTGAGAACAAAAAAAAAAAAACAACACTGTTTACCCACTGTTACTTGGCCCAACAGCAACAAATTCTTTTAATACATGCTTAAGTTCAAGATTTGAACTAGTATCTGGTGTAAAAATGTTCAGGGGCTTTGCTGAAACAAAGTTCATGTTACTTTTCTGAAGATAAAGCGGATGAACTTTCATATAATGTTATGGTCTACAGCATGTAAAAGCACGGACATACCCATGATGGATAGAACCCAGAGGGCGCTGGTTTATTATGAACTATGTAAGTTCATGTCATGATGTTACTTTATGATACTGACAATGCCAAAAAAAGACAAACAATGTGATACAGCTCCCTTTTCTCACAGTAATGGAGACAACAGAAAAAAAAAATGAACTGCTTTTAAACAAAAGACTGTGGGGACAACACTTCAGGACATTTTTGACACTGCTATAAGTTTCCACTTCTTTCTTCTCTGTAGCTGTAATAGAAAAAACTCTTCATGTTCATCCCACCTTGAAAGTTAGATTTATTATACTGCATCAGGCAAGAAAAATAAAAGAAATAGATTTTTAGATACTACAAATTTTTCCCTTCAGAAGAAAAAAGATGACGTTCAGAATCTCACTCCTAAGTACAACAATCTAGGCAAAATACACAAGGCCTGTTAAGCATCAACAGATGTATTATGGTTGGTAGTGTGTGGGCTTATACTCGAATGTTTACCTGGCTTCATATAAGCCAAGTATCTTGAGTTTGGTTCACATTCATTTCAGGCTCAAGGTTAAAGACTCACAACCTCTTTTTATTTCACTCTCTCCTGCTGAACCCTTTTGTCCAATGTTCTCTAGCCCTCTGGGAAAACAAACACATTTAATATTCAGACAGTAGAGAGTAGGGCACTGCAGAAGCAAATAAATTCAATACTGAAAGATCAGTAAGGTGATTAGTATAAAATTGTAAACAAGAGGTCAATTTTGCAAAGAGATGCCAACTCTTAGGTGTAACTGATACTATTCTATATTAAGACTATAACTATGCAAAGGCAAATAAGTTTGGTCAAGTACTACTGCATATGTAAAGCTTTGAAACAGAAGGCCTATCTTCAGCATATTTGGGTTTGTTTAGTTTTGAATCCTACCACCTTTATATGAGTAGAATGAGATTATGTATCCACAAGAGTAGGTATTAAATGTGTTGGAGTCACCTCTAAGTGCTGTGGCTAGTATGCTGTAGATTGTATGATGCAGAAGTTCAACAAATTCAAAGATAAAATACCCACTAAATTTTAGAAGAGTTTTCTGCTCTGATGAGTGAAACAGATGCATAAGATTATCTGCGCTACTCTCTTCTTTCTACATAAATACGCAATAAATCCAATAAGAGCTGCTGAAAAGTCAAAGC